CAAATAATTAGAAGAGGTGAGGCTTTAAACCCAGGTCGTCTAGCCCACCACCTTGTGGAGCTAGACGGAAGACCCCTGGGAATTTCTCAATTGGTAATATAAAACAGAGGGAGTACTTGCAAGTACGAGATTGTATGGAGCTGTATGGGGTGGAGCATTCGGTTAACTGCGTGTAGTTCATTCGGCTAAATTCACAGGGTGGCCGCAGCGCGCGCTCTGCCTGGCAGGGTTCAAAAATTCCAGAATGAAAATTCCATATTTTTGTGAATTTCGGTCTCTCCCCCAACCGAAAGCTATTTCACCTGAAAATTCTAGAAGTGTTCAAATTATTTTTGTGAATTCAGCAAAAAAATATTCAAATAGGATACAAAATTTAGTGGTAGGTACGTGACAACGAGATATCTATGATGACTTTGTGAATTTAAAAATATACCTACACATTATTGGAAGGTGATAACTTATAGAGAGGATGTGCATATGTGTGTCTATTGGGTTAGTGTACGCACGTTTGTAGTTTTAAAAATAGAATGTAAAGAACTTGTAATTGTGCACGTGCACGTGCAATTCACGTTATGTCAAAAATATCGGTCCAATTCTATTGACAGTTAAAAATAACAAATTTAATTTTGGATGTTAGCTTCAAACATAAATGACAAATGAGGGTCTTCTTGGTGACTAATAAGGAAAAAAAACCCTCCTTTCCCCCTTTTGTTTCCGCTGCTGTTTCAAAAAGAAAAATACTAAGTTTCATTTACAGAATGTTTCCTGTGGTCGATATTCCTTTAAAAAAAATCCTTCAATCCAAAGACCAAAGGAGGCCTGAATGTGACTTGTACTCAGGCTGTATTTAGATCCAAAGTTTGGATCCAAACTTCAGTCATTTTCTATCACATCAACCTGTCATACACACACAATTTTTCAGTCACATCATCTCCAATTTCAATCAAAATCTAAACTTTACGCTGTGTACACAGCCTCAGCCACCTTAGATTTCGAAGGGGACTAATCCGTATATTTTGGGTACCATGCATGTGGCCAAATACGTACGTACGAACATCTCGCTGCCACGACAAAGTAAAGGGGGCCTCGCTAGGCGCTACTTCTAGCTTATATGGAGTAGAATAATAGCCAGCCATGGTCCACCGAGCCGGTGATGCCTATGGTTTGGTCAATCCAGCAAATATACTTAGCCTTTTGATGGTGCGGTCCCTAACGATTAATTTATTTTCAGCATTCCGATTAGCGAGACTAATGAGTAACGATGAAACCTAACCGTCTTTTCGTGCTTACTTTTACCATCTTGTTTGGTAGTGCAATATAAGAGAACAAAAATATTTGTTTGACATCTCAGGAGATGTACGTACAGTGGTTAGGCTCTGTAATTCGTTAGTTAACTTTTCTCGGCACATAAAATGAAGTGAAGATTAGCAGAGATTTTTTTAAAAATAGATTAATACGATATATACAGAAAATGTGCACGTAAAAAATAAGAAAGTAAAAGTTAGATAAATATATTATATAACTTATCATAGACACATCTCGAGTCTAAATAGAGACATGAAACATTTTTTTACCTTTTTCTAAGAAAAACAAACAACAGTACATATTCTTGCTTGGCGCCATCTGTAGTACCGGCACATCCACGCTGTCCGACGCCCTCCTTCGCTCGGCACCTCCTCCTCCCAACTGTAGTCCGATGCGCTTCCTCGAGCAACAACTTCACTGGCCATTCCACCTATGCCTAAACCTCTCCGCTACCATGCCGCCGACCATCTAGTACATGAAGGGCTGTTTGGTACAGGTCCAACTCCTAAATTTAGCTTTAGGAGTTGGGTCTAGAGTTGAGTTGTGGAGCTGTCTAAACCCAGCTCCACAACTCTAGTTTATTTTGTGAGATAGCTCCACCCAACTCCACTCCCAGTTTTGATGGAGCTGAAACTGTTTGGCTGAGCTCCAGCTAGCTGTGCCAAACAGGCCTGAAGTGGCAACTCCAGGCTGCCCCACTTCCTATTGCTTTTTTTCCCTTTGCATTTTCTTTCCAAGGAGTACAAGAACTAAAGCACCAAACCAAGTCAGCTTAGAAATGTGAGCATGCACGGCACCATACAGAATTTGAAATAGAATTTCCTTATGAAGGTTTTTATTAGGATTTGGAATCCCAAAACACTCAAACGAAATCAACTATGACATGAATTTATTGTGTATCCAGAACAGACCCTGCATGTAGAACCAAAATTTTGAACAACCGGTCCCCACATGCAAGTTGGGGATAGATTAATTTGAGGAAGCATATGCATGTAGTCTCATTAATAAATATGGAGTACATGGATATTTGTCTAGTATTTGTGTATATAAAATTACAAATCATAAAGCAGTTCACAGCTCTGAGTGACGCTGGCCTATAGATATACAAGATCTGGTCAAAAGGGACGATCTCAGTTCATCTTAATCTTTCAAGAATTGAGTTTTTTTTAAGCTTATTAACTTATGGATTATACGCAGCAAGCGTGATTTTCAAATTACGACTTCTCCAAAACCTTTTTACATCAGCATCACTTTATACTGAACTTGCTATGTTTTAGTGTATAAGATAATAATATTCAATTCAATTGTTCATAATTTATCCAACCGGTTCTTTTTTATTAAGATGTACGTTTTATCTCGATTTTCGTTAGCATACTTTTTAAATGGTTAAACGATCCGTTTCATATAATAATTTTCTATATAAAAGTTGCTTTAAAAACATCAAATACTCCATTCCGAGTTTATAATAATTAAAACTCAATTAATCATGTGCTAATGGTTTTCTCATTTTACGTGCGCTGGTCGATTTCATCCTCACTTTAATCTATCTTAAAGCCACAAAAACGAAAGATAGAGATAAGTTGGTTGTTCGGTTCAGGTGCGTTGCGGCAATACTGGAGCACCTAGTGGGTGGATCCAGCCCTAGGGCAGCTATGGCTTAAGCCCTCGGCCTAGGATCCAACAAACTGCATACAAATTATATGTAAATTTGAGGAAAAATTATTTAAATTTATATTGAACTATAGCAGGACGAAAAACTTTGGCGGATTAGTTCGTTGGTGTCATAATGTATCTATCGATATTATAGCATATTAATTTTATTTAGAATATAAAGTTATAATATATAGATAAGCAGTTTAAGCATAACATTTACAGAAAGTTATTGGTGTCGTCTGATACCGGTGGTAACACTCTAGATCCGCTCTGATTTGGCTCCGCCACTGCAGCTACTGTCTTGTCCCCCCTGTACTGCACGACGTGAGTACGATCGAGCAGCGGATCGATCTGGCTAGTGATGCGTACCAACTACCAAGAGACGGAGATCGATCGAGTTTTTACGTGTGCGTAATGGGTGAGGCGTAGCCAACTGCATGCGGTGAGGTTGTTGCATCGGGTCAACACGAGGAAGAAGAATTGAAGTGATGCTGCTGCTTTTGATCACCTCCACGTGATGCTGCCTCCTTTGTACTGCATGATGGCCTGCCCTACGAATCCATATTAATTTTAGGCAGGGCAAGGCAAGCATAGCACCTCTTCTTGTTAGAGCAGGTACAATAGCAGCAGGTTATAAGTCAGCTGTAAACATATTTTAATGAGATAAATAAGGAGAGAGAGGGCAGCGGGCTACAGATTTGTAGCCAGCTGCAGCACGGACTCTAAGACGCAGTGTATGTATGACAGGTGGGACCAGGTATTAATAGTATAGTATGTAACTATTATATGAATAAGATATTAGATTGGCTATAGGTGAATTGGAGCCGGTAGCTGGCTATTATATTAAACTTGCTCTTATAAATCGCCGTTGGCTATTTGTATCTCTAGGTAGGTCCGTAGCACGCACGTGAGCCCTCCACATGTCTAGACAGGCATTAGTGAATTTGTAGGATTAATGATATGCCATCACGTCAGTTTATGGCCAGCAAAGGAAGAGAGAGAGAGCGCGCTGTTTAATGTCTAGTTACACTGTTTAAGACACATTCTATGAAGATTGCCGGATGAGGTACAATTGCTTACAACACTTTAGTGTATAGCACTCTTTGACACATCATACTTTTGGAAACATGTCACTACTAATCCAGAAGCCTATAAAATTGCACGTTCTTTTCGGTTGAATTGTGGATGAAAGCCCGCATAAAAATGTGAATGAAAGACGATAGATGAATTTATTTATATGAATGAAATAAATATTTTATATGCTATAAATCTAACAAATCGCTTAAAATACGAGGAAACATGAACGCTTTGATCGGTTTCTCCCTTCGAGCATCCTGTTAGGAATCCACTTCTTTCAATTCAATTAGCTAGGATACACCATAATAAAGCATTAAGTGTTTGAGGGGAAAAGGAGAAGACGAAACCATGGAATAGAGTGTTTTAGAACTAAGAGAGAAGGCTGGAGGTAGGAGAAATAAGGAAGAGAGCTCGACAAGAGTGCCTACCGGTCGCTCAGGTCGCTGCCGCTGCCGAGAACTTCAGCTCTGCCAAGTCCAATTGACCAATCTATGGATGGTGTACCTGCTTTTGTTGCTCATATGGTGCTAGCTGTGCTTAGGGTCTGTTTAGTGCACGAACGAAAATTTTTGGCGTGTTATATCAGATATATGGACACATATTTAACGTATTAAACGTAGACTAATAACAAAACAAATTATAAATTCCACCTGAAAACTGCGAGACAAATTTATTAGCAAATGTTTACTGTAGCACTACATTATCAAATCATAGCGCAATTAGGCTTAAAAGATTCGTCTCATAATTTACACGCAATCTGTGTAATTAGTTTTTTTCTATATTTAATACTTCATGTATATATCAAAACATTCAATGTGACTTTCAATGTGACAAGGTGAATAATTTTTGTTTGGGAATAAACAGGCCTGGCCTGGTTTGGAACGTGGCCGATCAGCACATATTCAGCCCAACTGTGCTCCTGACACGTCCAACGCACACGACGACACGATTGAAGACATGAGGGGTACGACGAATTGTAAAAGGTTACTACAAGAAGTCTACAACATTACAAGGGAAACAAACGGTTATCCATGCGTCTTCATAATCACGATGACACAAATGCGGACAATACTTGATACTGGCAGTTGTCAAATACAAGACCTTTCAAATGGCAGGATCAAAATTTTCATCATAAAGAAACAGCAGCAATTCCGATAAAAATCAGTCAAACAAGTCACTCGAGTATATCCCCACCGTTAGGGGCGTCGCCAAGCTAGCGAATTTCTCCACTCGCTATCGACTTCACCTTGCAAACTCCAGCTGAAGTTGTGAAGGGTACATCCTTGTAGCACGCCACGAGCTCGCCGTTGCTGTGCAGGTCAGCTGATAGCTTCTCCCACGTCTTGCTCTTTGCGTTGAGAGACGCCTCAGGCTCTCCAGAGTACCCAGCAAAGGTCACCCTCTCCCCAACCGCTGCGGATTCTGGTGGCTCAACCAGCTCAACCTGAATTTCAAATGTCAGCTTATCCATAAACAGAGCTGAATGCTACTGGTCGCACACAGTGTAATGTACTGCTGAAGATTTCTGATTTCTTACCTTTGTATGGTCCTCATTTGATGCAGCCAGAACCATTGCATGTGATTTTATACCGCGCATCGCCACTGGTTTCAGATTGCAGAGAACACACACTTTCCGGTTCTGAAAATTTATCATAAATGAAAAATAAATGAAATTCAAGCAACCAAATGACCATATCTATGTTATGACTACACACGATGTTAAAAATATTAACCTGCATTTCTTCAAGAGGGATGAATTTGACAAGGCCGCTAACAACTGTTCTTGGTGCTTCCTCTCCAACATCAATCTCCTCTACATACAGCGAATCAGCATCTGGATGCTTCTGTGCTTTCCTGATAAGCCCCACTCGAATATCCAACTTTGCCACCGTGACATCCACCTCTGCATTCTTTGATTTTGAACCACCTGATTGTTTTTTCTGTTCCTTCTTTTGACCTCCATCTGGATAAGATGATGAAAAGGAAACTAGCCAATGAGTTGATGGAATTTTCAAATGACTCAAGAAAATTGAGCACATCAAACAGATGCAATGTGTACACAGTTTGCCATGACAGATGCCCCTGTCCCATACATTGTTGCAAGGAAATACTCCCTCCGTTCCTAGGATTCCTAGGGTTCAATTTTTGTAGACAATATAAGCATTCCTAAAGTACTAATAGTCCCATCAATCACTCGATCAAATTTCTCCCCAATCTTACTCTCAACCACCACCCCATCCCAACCACCTCTTATTATCTTTTCTTCTCAAATTATCTCTGCTAAATAACTTACTAATGCTTGTATTTGGAAAAATGAAAGGGAGTATATGAACTACTCCCTCCAATTTTTAATGTTTGATGCCATTGACGATTCATCTTATTCAAAAATTTTGTGCAAACAAGCTAAAATAAAGTCATGCTTAAAGTATCTTTAATGATAAAACAAATCACAACAAGATAAATCATAATTACACATTTTTCGAATAAGATGAATGGTCAAACGTATTTCCAAAAGTCAATGGCATCACACATTAAAAACCGATCCCGCTCATTAGAGTATCACCAAGAGAGGACCAAACATGTTCCTAAAAACTAAATTTTGGGGACTTTGGTTAAATTTAGTCATCTAAAGCATGACCAACAGCTTCCTTATTCTATTCCCTATCATCAGATTTAGGAAATTTTGGTCAAAATTCACATCCAACAGAATCCCTAACCTGTCTCCCAATAATCCAAATTCCCAACTCTGGATATTTCGTTCCCCACTTGAAGGGAGCGATTTTTTTGTTCCCAATCGTTCTCTCCTGCGCGCACGGAGAAAAAAAATCGCGAGATGGAGGAGCTGACTTGGCGCAGTGCGTGCATAGGGGAGGAGATCGGCGTAGGGAGGAGCAGAAAAACTGTTGGTAGTTAAAGGGAGGTCCCACTTTTCATTATAGGGAAATCAATTTTAGGCTCTCTCTTGGAGAGATAGGTTTTCTCACTTCCTATATTAAGTTTAGGAGATCCAAAAAATATAGTTTTGGGAATTGATTACTGGGATACTCTTGGTGATGCTCCTAATATTTCGTTCCCTAAACTTTTTTTTGATCTCCTGAACTGCATATCTCTCCAAGAGATAGCCTAAAATTGATTTCCTATAATTACAAGTGGGCCACCCCTTTAACCACCAATAGAAAAAAAAAGTTTTTCTCCCGTCCCATCCCCTAAGTGTGCGCCAGATGCCGATTTCCTATAATTAAAAGTGGGCAATCCCTTTAACCACCAATAAAAAAAAAGTTTTTCTCCCCTCCCCTCCCCAAGTGTGCACCAGATGCCGATCTCCTCATCTCTCTCGCGATTTTTCTCCACCGAAGCCGATCTGTTCGAGCCGCCAAATGGTCGCTGATCTCCCCTAATTCCCCTCTCCGCTAGCTGCTTTGTCTCCGCCGACGACGGTCGCTGCAGTCGCGACCGAGTGCGGCGAGAAAAGGAGCGCGGGCACATTTTCCCCCTGCGCGCGCGAGAGCGAAGAACGTGATTGGGAAGAAAAGTCGCTTGCTAGAAGTGGGTAACGAGATATCCGGAGTTGGGAACATGGATTATTGGGAGATAGGTTAGGGAATTTCTTGGATGCGATTTTGGACCAAAATTTCCTAAATGAGGATAAGGAATAGAATAAGGAAGCTCTTGCTGATGCTCTAACAGACTTTAAATCATGGTCCCAAAATTTACCCACACGCCAATCCCACCCAGGATTTGGGAAGCGGTACGCCCTCCCAATCGCACAAATCATGCTAGAAGAGCAAATCGCGCCATAAGAGCGGTGCACCCTCCCAATCGCACAAATCGCGCTATAAGAGCAAATCGCGCCATAAGAGCATCTCCAAGAGAGGCCCAAAAATAATTCCTAAAACCTATAGATTGGGAAAATATGTTCCATCTCCAAGAGATACCTAAAATAGAATCCCAAAAATGAGTTAGTTGACCACGTAGGATTGGGCCCATGGTTGTTACCGATTTTTTTTTAACATGCGCATGGATCAGAACAGATCACTCCCCCTGCCGCTGCCCTTTCTGAATGCCGCAGAAAAACGGAAGGCCTAGTTGATCCTCTAGACGATGTCATCAATCTACATGTTAATATCGCATGGTCATGTAGAGGATCAACTAATCCCTCTGTTTTTCCACATTAGATGTGGAATCATCCGTCAATACCACAATGGCTGGTGGGTGAGGTTTTTCTAGCGGCGGCAGGAGCTGGAGGCGTCCAGAAGGGCAGCGGCAGGGGAGCGATTTGACCTGTGTGCAGGTATAAGAAAAAATCGGTAACAACCATGGCACATCCAATCCTACCTGGTCAACTAACTAATTTAATCCTACGTGTCAACAAACTAATATTTGGGATTCTATTTTTAGGCATCTCTTGGAGATAGAGATATTTTATTTTTTTTTTAGGATCTCTTGGAGATAAACATATTTTGGACCTAAATTTTTTTGAAATTGTCCCAATCCATAGGTCTTAGGAACTAACTTAATTGTCTCAATCCATAGGTTTTAGGAACTAACTTTTGGGCCTCTGTTGGAGATGCTCTTAGTGCTTCATTCATATTATATTAATTATTAACTCCATTAACAATGGATTTCATCCACTTGCTGAATGTGAAACAAAGAAAAGCTGGCTTTTGTTCTGATTCAAGCAAGCAATTTAATCAGAACAGTGTAACAATGTCCAGATAATTACCAGATAATTTTGTGCCCTTGAGCTTGTCAGCAACCTTCTTAGCTTCAGCATCAGCTTGTGCTTTTGAGCTCCTCTCAGCTTGGCTGCCTGCAAATTTATTCCTGAAGGACTCTACTTCTTCATCTTTCTGCATCCAATGAGGTCAAGAGATGTAAAGCTTTGACAGACTACAGAAAAAAGTCACAAAAGTTGCAAGAAGTTACAAAAATTGCAAATATGTACCAGTTCTTTAAATAGAGGTGAAGGCTTTCCTATTTTGTGGCCTGCTGATACAAAATCCCAAGGTCTTTTTGCCTTGGCGATTTCTCCTTTATCGTCACAGAAAGACAAGCTTTCTTCAGGGGTCATATTTAATTGCAGCAACACCTTATGAAAAAAATGAAGTGAGATTCGGCTCTCTTATAAAAACTCAGACATGTTTCAGTGATGACAAGGATCATACTTCATTGGAAAATGAAGGCATGAAAGGCTCCAGCAAACAGGCAAGGAGATAGACCACACCAACTGAAGTTTTCATTACAACAGCACAGGCTGCTGGATCTTCCTTATAAAGTTTCCAAAACTGGCTCTCCTGCACTCAGTTAGCGAATTGAAGATATAAAAGTGTTACTTAAAATAGACTAAACGAAAACCATGACAATAAAACAAATTACTTACTTGCAGATATGCATTTCCATCACTAGAAATGCCCATAGCGCTCTTCAGTCCTTGTTTCAATTTAACCTGTCAAGAAAAAACTATTAAACATATGTTCCAAAACCTACTAGCTTGCTAAACCAAAAGAAAAAAGAAAAAAGGAAGAAGAATTGACAGGATGTTAAGCAGGAAGCATAGGAATGTGTCATTTCCTACGATAACAGATTGATAGATAACCTTTTCCATTGCTTCAAGATATTGTTCAACCCATTTATTAGTTTTCTCAACAAGTGCCTTTGTCAGTGGATGCGACTCAGCGTTAGGAGCATCAGGTACGATGGAATCATATCCGGCTCCTAACAAAAAAAGAAAAAAAAGAAAGAAACATAATGAACATAAAACAAAAGTTTGGAGGTAAGAACAAGATAATGGCGACTGATCACTTATGGCCTATCTAAACTCTATGAGAAAAATACCAAACTCAATTAATAGTCCTTAAAGAAAGTAAGATGCCAGGTATTAAGACATCTAGACTGACCTGCTGGTTTTGCAACAAAACTGAGCACACGGTTGATGAAATTCCCCAAGTTGTTCAACAACTCACTGTTTAATTTGGCTTGCAAATCAGCCCAAGTAAATAGTGTATCTGATACCTGAATTAAAAAGATGATAGTTAGGACAAAAAACTTAAACACTGTACCATTACAGTGTACCATTCAATACAAACCTCAGGACGATTTGTAAGCAAGTAGTAACGCCACACTTCAGGAGGTATATTTGTATCCTTCGCGTCATTACCAAAGACTCCAATACCATGGCTCTTGGAGAATTTTCCTTCAAGTGCAATGAATATTCAATTATTATCCACATAGATGTGCATGTTTGTCTTATCATGCATGCATCTTGGTCAGCAACTCAGCATGTTTAGATAAAGCTCATGCAAAGCAGTATGGGATTTTCTGTTCAGATAATGCTCATGCAAGGAAATACGGCATCCTTTGTGAATAAGTACTCCCTCCGTTTCAAATTACTTGCCATTCTAGTTTTGTTGTAAGTCAAAAGGTTTGTACCTTGACCATCAATTTCTGGAAATCCATATAGTTTAACATCATAATATTTATGTTATTCATTGGATAATTTGCATGTTGTTAAACTATATGAATTTCTAGAAATTGGTGGTCAAAGATATAAATGTTTACTTACAACAAAGCTAGAATGGCAAGTAACTTGAAACGGAGGGAAAGTTACATGTTAGAACATAGGCATATATCAGACTTCAATCAAATGACAGTTTTAGTCTACAGACACCGTTAAATTTTAGTCACCATTGTTTAAATTTGCAGTCCAGTGTAATGGATGAAAAGAAGCATGTTTGAAAGAGATTGGTGGAATAAAATAGGTAATAAAACTCAGGTCTGAGGGTGCCATAAAATGTAATGTCTTAAATATTCTTGGGATGAGAATCTTCAATCCAATTCAATACTTCTCTTTGTCAAACTCGGTAGCTTTTGACTAATAATCATACTAAACATATCTATGCTAAGTATTATGAATGTTATATCACTAGATTCATATTTTGATGTACTTTCATGTGATGCTAATTTTTATATTAGTTGGGAACATAACATGGAATAAATTACTGGTCAAAGTATGTCACTGAAGACCGTGTAAAAAAATATAGGCCTTATAATTTGGGATAGAGGGAGTAACTAATATTATTCAGCAGAGAGAAAATAACATGTTTTGGTTCAAATAAATGGGCACGGCAAATTTGGTTGATAAAAGTCTATGAATTCCACGGGCTCCTGAGCTCACATAAGCAAACAAGTATTTACCATTTACCAGTTACCAATAATATGGACTCTTTGTCAATCAAGCATTTTGGTTAAAAAAAAACTGTAGCAGCAATACCTGCTTCGTAGTTCAAATATTCAGTCACACTTATGGTCTTCATCATTGTCCACTTTTCGCCAGTTCCAAGTAATGTAGAAGGGAACATGACCTTTCATTAAATAAGTAGTTCATGGTTAATAATTAGAAGCATGAGAACAATAACTAGTATTTGCAAAATGAGTAAATGACATATATATTAGGCTCCATTTTGACATGGCTGCATTTGCAAAAGATCTTGTATTTTTTACTTTGATAAACTACCTGACAGTATATTTTGCTATAGCAGTAGATTAGATGGAGGGGGCAACTATTCTCATAAGGCCATAACTAGGTCCACAAAGCACATGTACAACAACCCCCAAACTGACCATTGAAGGCTTAAAGGATATAAAGCTTGTGGGTTTATAGTCCTTTCGTAGTAACCATCAAGTTCATGAATTGAAGTATCAAACAAATCATCAAATTACAAATTAATACCATACTATCAATCATATAACCAAGTTGGATAGAGACCAATCAGGCGTTTAAGATATAAGTCAGAATTCGTCTTTTTTTCAGAGAAAGCTAACTCAGTTAAACATTTGAGATAATATTATCTTGACTAAGTAGTTAAATACAACAATATTTACAAACATGTACTCATGGAAAACTAATTATTCATACATTCACATCCAAAACGTAATGAAAAACTAAAAATGTTCATAATTCATATGCCATGAACAGAAACAATTCATACCGTGTGAAATGGCACATTATCTTTACCCATGAACTGAAACAATTCTACGTTATCAGGATCCTTCCACCATTTCTCCCAATCAGGTGTATAGGAAGCTGTGATAGATACATAGCCAATCGGTGCATCAAACCAAACATAGAACACCTAAAAATAAAAAAAAATCATTAGAGATAAAGTAAATAGAACATAAGCAGGACTTCTTCAGATCTGATATGCACAAACCTTGTCCTTATATTTCTCATGTGGAACAGGAACACCCCACTTGAGATCTCGGGTGATACAGCGTGGCTTCAAACCTTCCTTCAGCCATGCGTTTGTTGCCTGAATAGCATTTTGACTCCACATACCAGCTACAGAAGTTTCATTGATATAGTTTACCAACTTGTCGCTCAAAAGAGGAAGCTCAAGGAATAAGTGATCTGTGTCACGGACACGTGGAGTATTCTTACAGACCTACAGAAAGATAGAGGGCAAAAGGAAAGCATAATTAAAACTTCACAGTACTCTATGTGCTTTGTATCATGCAGCAATAAAAAAATGATGCTCAATGAACAAATTAGCTTACCTTACACTTGGGATCAATTAGCTCAGTTGGATTCAACAATTTGCTGCAGTTTTCACACTGATCACCTCGCGCCGCCTCATAATTACAGCCTTCAGTTGGACATTTCCCCTCCACGAGCCTATCCGCTAAAAATCGTTGGCAAGTATCACAGTACAGCTGCAAAAGGAATATATATTGTGTAAAAGATAGAATATGAAAAGACAGATACACAGGGATAAGACCAAGAATCATCTATACCTGCTGCATGGTGTTTTCTGTGAGCCAATTGTTTTCCATCAACTTTTGGAAAATTGCTTGGCAGACTTCAGTCTGTTGGGGAGAGGATGTCCGTCCAAACTTGTCAAACTTTATGTCAAACCATTTGTAAACCTCACTATGGACAGCATGATACCTATTTTCAACAGGAAAAGCTCTCTATGAAGAAAATGCCTTCGCTTTTCATGTGCTAAGTTTACAGGACATGAAAGAAAGGCAACTGACTCATGCATTTGTGAACTACAACTAAAAAAAAGTTTGCGATGGTCTTTCCAAAAATTATGGGATCTGTCACTCTACATCACTTTCAATTGTTTACGAACATACTTGGCACGTCATATTACTTAATGCGCATAATCTTATGGTTGTAAGCAGAGAGTGCGACCACCAACCGCCACTGTCGATGAGTGTCATGGAAAATAAAAAATCTATAAGTGCATCTGCTGCGACTAGTCAATTCAATTCGTCAGCTCATATTGAAGCTAAACCACACTGTTTTTGTACTAACTAGTGCCATCGCAACCAAAATTATAATAAACCCAGACAAAATCCTATATACGATTACTAACAGGGTGAGAGAGACCAAATTAAATTAGAAGCAGAGGGAAGGTGAAGCCTCTCTCACTTGTCGCAGATCTCCTTGGGCGAGCACTTCTCCTCCATGGCCTTGGTCTCGGTGGCCGTCCCGTACTCGTCGGTGCCGCATATGTAGATGACGTTGTAGCCCCGCAGCCGGCAGTAGCGCGCGAACACGTCGGCGCTGAGCACGCCTGCATCGCAACCGCCACCATCAATCAATCAATCAACCAATCAATCAGCAGCAAGAACTAGCTGAATCCGTCAGCGCAAGGAAAGCTAACAAACAAAAAGCAAAATCGAGGGAGGAGGCTCACAGCCGATGATGTTCCCGAGGTGAGGGACGTTGTTGACGTAGGGCAGCGCGCTGGTGACGAGGATGTTGCGGCGGCCGGGGACCGGCAGCTTCGGAGGCGGCGGCGGCGACGCCATGGGGTAGACGAGAGGAGGTTTAGGGTTGGGGAGGAGCAGGTGGGGGGAGTGGAGGCTGTCCTTTGGTGTTGTCAAATGAAATTCTAATGAGGTAATAGTGGGCCGGACTGGCCCATAACTCTATTTTGTTTTTGCAATAAGTTCACTAGAGATCCCTCAAAATAGACGGCGAATTCTATTCACCTCCCTCAAGGCAAAACAAAACAGGTTATTAAGTGTCCTCCAACATGCAAAATCAGTACAAATTGAGTTCCTAAGCAGTATTGAGGGCGGTTTTGACTGACATATATGGCACTTGTTAACTTGGTCTTTATTCCATGTGGTGCTTACGTGTTACTAGAATCAAAATAAAAATAAAAATACCAATCAGACCTACATGTAAGGGAGAATATGATTATTATTAGAGAAAAATTAAACAAATATGTGAGTCCACGTATTTAGTAATAATCTACCCTATAATAATTCACCAACTTACTCAAACACCTACATTACTCATTCATCAAATCCAACGGCTGATAATACGTGAATCCAGCGGCTCAGATAATCTCCCCTCCTCCGCGTGTGATCCCCAATCACGCCCTCCTCAGGCGGACACGGTCGCCCGTTGCGTACTCCCCTCCGCAGATCGCTCCAACCTCCTCCCATCCCTGTTCACCGGCCTCTCCTCCTCTGCGCACTCCCCATCGTGCCGATCCCCTCCGCCGCCAGTTCGCCGCTGCGCCGTGGTGGCCTTGCCTCACCTCGCCGCCAACCCCCACCTCAAACCCTAACTCCCTCCCTCACGCGCTGCACCGCCGATACCCCACCCGCTGCTAGTTCCTGTCACCCTCTCCATCGCCACGCAGCACGCAACCTCGCGCGCCCTCCCTTGACCTTTCTCCGCATCCTGTGCTCCGCCGCGGCCGACGACTCAAGATTTGTAAAAATAACAAAGAGAGCCTTTGCTCTGGGCCTCCCACTGCTGTGCCAAGGGAATCATATCATAGTACCTATACATCTTTCGAAAGATTTTTATAATCGTATCACACAGATTTTTAATCTTTGTATTAAAATCCGATAGATATAATAAAAAGAAAAAGCAATTAAGAAACACCATAATGAACATTAAATTACCATATCCTCAAGAAAAAGACCAAATCAAATACAAAATTTAAAATTTACATGTGAAGATTCAAAAATTACAGTGTAACTTACAAAAGTTACAGTGTAAGTTTCATAAATTACACTGTAACTTACAAGAAAATACACTGTAAATTTGAGTAAGAAAATCGAGTGAGAGATAAGAAAAAATCTTTCGAGTGAGATATAGCAAAATCGTTAAATCTTTAGTTTTCCTCAGCCACTATGGACAGTGAATCGGCCCCTGAGAGGCCTCCGATCTGCTACAGTATAACAGTGCCCTTTCCCCACATCAGCCGTCCGATCCGGCAGTCATGGCACATCACAACCGTCCACCTCCCCATCACCTCCCCCAATTCCCAGTTGGTCGTGCCCTAATCCCTCATTTCCTCTCCCCTTCCTACGCGCCGCCGCCGCCGCCACCGCGACTCCTCACATTCGTCCCCACCACATCCGAGCCAGCGGCCGCCCGCCCGCCGTCGCTACCTCCTCCTCGAGCCAGCGGCCGGCACCACCACCTTCCCATGGAGCCAGCGACCGGCGCTATGTCCTCACGGAGCCAGGCGCAGTGCCATCTTCTCGCGGAGTCACTGGCCCGCACCGCCGCTACCTTCTCCTCATAGAGCCAGGGATGTCGAGACCATCGCCGTCTGTGTCCGCTTCTTCGCACAGCTACGCCAGCTTGCGGCCACTACTACACTAGGGTCTGACTTGCTCTTCTTGTGCATGCTTGCTTCTATACCTTCTACATTGATCAATTCGGGTAACTTATGTTGCAAATATGTGGTTAAGATTTGGGTGTGGGTGGAGCAAGTGTGCCAGCCACTACACCACCGTCCACTCCCATGAGAAAGTCAGCTCCATCAAGATGATCGAACATCCAGCCACTTGCGCACTCCTCCATTTGCTGCCGTATGAGGATGAGGCAGGCAGCTCCAGTTAGGTCACTACTCTGCTGAAAAAAAAAGAAAACTGAGTCCTGGTACCAAATCTAGCATTTGCTTCGTTTCCTTCCAGATCTGGATTTTAATTCACTGGTCTGCCTTTTGTTATTTTTAATTATTTTGTTCTATTGATTAGTCTCATCAATCTTTACTCTACTATCGCGGCCGTCCGATTTACCACCCTAAACTTAAATACCGGATATTTCACACCCTAAACTTGTAAAACTAGACAAATTACCCCCCGGCTCCAAACCGGAACGGTTTTGGTCCTACGTGGCATACATGTGGCGCTAGCGTGGCATTCCAATCCGAAAAAAATAAAAAAATAACATGGGCCCCACATGTCATATGGAGTACACGTAGTACTAAACTCTCTCTCCTTTGATGTCGCGGGCGCGGCGTGGCGCAGAGCCAGACGCGGCGCGGCAGCGGGGAGCCGGGGATGACGGGGATGGCAGGAGGAGACGTGCTCGCCGGCGAAGACCATGCACGCCGGTATATGCGGAGGAGGAGCTGCGCGCCGCCTGCGGAATCGAGGACTAGTCGCCACAGAGCTCATGATGGCGGCCGAGGGCAGCGCCGACGCAGTTGGGGAAGGCGGCTTAGCTCGCCGGGGGCTGCTGCGCCGTGGAGGTCTGCGACGACGGCGACCACCCCATCCTCGTGGGCTCCGTCAAGCGCCGCGCGCCGACGCCGCTCGATTGGGCTGACGATGCTGTAGACGTGGGAGGAGATGGGTATGGACCAAGCGACGGCGAGGCCGACAGTGACCTCGCTGCCGGCGTCCCCACGCGCCGCCGTCCCCCATGCGCTCCCACGTGCCGCCGTCCCCCGCCGCGCTGCCGTCCGCCGCCAGCCCCCACGCGCCGCCGTCCGCCCCCACGCATCGCCGTCCCCCGCCGCGTTGCCGTTTGCCGCCAGCCACGCACGCCTGCTCCCGCGTCGCCGTCGCCGACGCTCTCCTCCACGGCGTCGTCGGTCGCCCGCCGCGGCGCCGCCCGGGAAGCTCCACCTCCGCCTCAGCCTCAGCTGCCTGCCGCATGCCGCACGGGGTGCTCCGCCTCCACCTCAGCCGGCCGCCTCCCGCCGCTCGGGGAGCTCCGCCTCCGCCGTCACCCGCCCGCTCGGCCTCCGCCTCAGCCGCCCGCCGCTCGCCCGCTCTGCTTCCGCCTCTGCCGCCCGCTGCCCGGGGAGCTCCTTCTCCGCCGCCGGCCGCCAGCTCCGCCTCAGCCGCCCGCTGCTCGGGGTGCTCCGCCTCCGGGGCCGCCGGCGCACCCCCGCGCGCCGCCGCCCACCATCCCCTGTGCCGTTGCGCTCGAGAGAGAGAGAGAGAGAGATAGGTGGGGAAAAGGTGAAGAGGAGGGGAGAAGAAGGGGGTTGGGCTGACAAGTGGGTCCCGTATCTTTTTTTATCTGTTTTGGCTGACTCCGCCTCAGCCGCCCGCTGCTCGGGGTGCTCCGCCTCCGGGGCCGCCGGCGCACCCCCGCGCGCCGCCGCCCACCATCCCCTGTGCTGTTGCGCGAGAGAGAGAGAGAGATAGGTGGGGAAAAGGTGAAGAGGAGGGGAGAAGAAGGGGGTTGGGCTGACAAGTGGGTCCCGTATCTTTTTTTATCTGTTTTGGCTGACTAAACTGCCACGTATGCGTCCACGTAGGACCAAAACCGGCTTGGATCGACTTAGGGGGGTAATTCGTCCGGTTTGTAAAGTTTAGGGTTAAAAATAACTGGTATTGGAGTTTAGGGTGGTAAATCGGACGACCACAATTGTTCAGGGGGGTAATTCGTACTTTTTCCTTTCTTATTAGACCTAAAGTTTGATCTGTTGTGGTAATGATGTTAATAAGAAAGTAGAGTTAATTGTATCTTGCTATCATGATTGATAATCCTATCTATACCTCCAAGCATTTAACTGTTAATGAACAGAAAGACAAATTAAAATATTTTGTGTGTGTGCAGCCAATTTTTGTCATAACCATTCTTTGATGGGGCATCCGAGTAAAGATTGTACTATTTAAATTAGTCTTACACCTTATCACTGGAGAGGGAGTTGGGGGTATAACTGTACTAGAGGCTGGGGCGCGCCAATGGCGCGCCGCCTGTGCACAGCTCGATGGAAAGATACGCTGGTCAGGTAGTTTTAATTAAGCAAACCTAAAAAACACAAGGCTAAAATGTGGCAGATAGTGGCAGATAGTATTATAGTAGATGCATTATAACAAGTCAGCTGCCTGTAGATAGCTTATGTACAACTAATGTAGCTATGAGTGCACGACCTAAACAACCAGTATGCACATGATTTTTTTTTATAGTGAACCTGATGCTGTGTTGCAGCAGAGCGTGTTTTCTTCTGCTTCACTAATGAAGGCTGATGCAGTTGCATATAGCGTCTTCAGGCGCAGATATACACATAGAGAAGTTCAACTATGCCGCTTAGCACATGACCAAAAAGATCCTTAGGACCAGCAACTTAGCGCGATTGACAAGGTTTTTATAAGCAGCAGCAGAACGAGCTGGCACATAAGCAAAAGGGTAACCATAAGCGCGAGGACCATAAGCATCTTTGGATAGTATTTACAAATCAAAAGAACAACCACATGTCAGGCTAGGTCATTTAAGCTCCTTGATTATCTGTAATATAGACAGAAACGAGAATTCAATTGACAGCGAGAAAAATTGTGCATCAGAGCATATGGATCAATAAGAAAAGCAATAGAAAACACGTACCAACGCAAAACACTGGTACGTCACTTTACTTTTCAGTTCTTCTGTGAGGATCTACTCTTTTGATTACTGGTAGAAGATGCAGCGCTAATAAATAGATAGAATGAGAATAATTAGAACAAGTGTAAATCACAAAAACGAGAACTGGGCGCCACAAAAACGACACCGATACTCAGACGCACCATAATAAGACCTATCCTTTGAAGTTTCTCGACAAAAAAAAAAACAAAAAAACATTAATTGAAACACCAAAATGTAGAAACCACACCCCTAAAACTAATAACAAACAAAAAAGACCTTTTAAAGACTCTGCATAGCTAGCATCAAATCTATTCGAAGACGTTGATGGCACACAAGGAGGCTTTCGACCTACAACAGGAACAACTCAAAAGACACACAATAACTAAACATAAGAACGCACAGTAAGCATAAAAAATCAATCAAGACCTGCCAACGCCAATCGCCTCACAGGTAAGTTTTTTGATCGAATTCGACGCCTCCTAGCACAGTACCATGCAGGGTAAATAGGGAAAAATTCATACAAGAAAGACTACAAGAGTTGATCGAATTCGACGCCTCCTACAAGAAAGACTACAATTATTGTTGAAGTCAGTATAAATACCTAAAGCGTTTAAGAATATAAATTTAAACGGTAATTTTGCTTGCCAGGGCATGCCAAAGATGCCTCCAATTTCTTACTTGTTGCAAAGCACAATGGGCAGTGCATTTTAAGTTCAATTGAAAATTTTCAATAACAAAATAATTTAAATAAAAAAGATAGTAGCATGGCATACCGCACACCTCTAATTCTTTAATTTGTCACACCATACAAATGCCAGTGTATTTTTAAGTTAATTTGAAATTTTTCAACAATAAAAAATGATGTCAATAAAGATGTATTACATTGCGTTCTCTACGGTGTGATCCAACTAACCAAATAGGGAGATCCAGAATGGAGAGCTTGTCCACAAATCGCTGGTAATACCTCCCATTAGATGGATGGCATAACCCTGCAACAAGTTGTAAGGCAATATCACGAACTGGCATTTCATAAAAAAGAAGTCATCAAATGGCGTACATCTGCTCAAATGTGTTTATCTGCTGTAGATTTCTAGCCGTGTACATCTTCAACATTCTAATCATTCATAAAAGAGAACATATGAGGGATAAGTTTATGTGCTGCCCTAAACAAGTGAACTAAATGTCTCTTCCCAGTACTTGGTAGAAAGACCTATAAAGCATCTCGTTGTTCACGATGTTTTAACAAAAAAAAAAAAGTCCACTTTACTCTCACAAACTATTTCAGCAGAGCACTGAGTTTTTTCGCTCATTTTACATCCCAAATTATGGCTAAAGTAAAATGATACTTTTTTATGATTAAACTAACCTCTACAGCTTTACCAAATCATATCCTCTAGTATTTTAAGATGACAGTTGACATAACCTGGGCCTACTCCATGTTCAACCTTTCTTTACAACAAACACCAAATTAGTCTATGGTCTAAACCAGAGAAACTCAAGACATGTTAAAAAAATGTCATCACGGCATATTTGGTATTTATACTAACTTGTATTTGGTATTTATACTGACTTGTATTTGGTATTAGCATGGCAACCCTTTTATGCATGACATGGGGAATTGGAGAACCATTAGTATGAAATTTTAAGATATGTTAAAGCTACCGCTAGACATCTATATGACACAGAACAAATAGATCGCAGGTTTGGTGGTATGAAGAAACCAAATGCCAATTAATTACATCCATATGTATAGAACTTATTTGTCCAACCGTACTTATGAAAAGAACCATGAAGTGATGAGTGCATACTAATTAATTAATTAATTACACTTAGAAATAAACAGTTGAGTTTTAAGGACATAAAACCACATAATATTGTTAGCTTTTGTAAAGCAGAGAAATTCATATTCCGGACAGTTTATGCATGTTGATAATAATAAATCAAATAAAGACACCGACAAGTCAAAAGACATATATGAGGATAATCAACATAACCTATGTAACTGCTGGGTCATGAAAAACATTCAAGGCCATCTGTCCCAGTATCAATATGTTGTGGTATAGAAAATGTTGAGGTTTAGATCTGAATGAAAAATTTCAGCAAAAAAAAAAAGTTGATGTCTTTCTTGTTAAAATAAGAAGAAACATCCAAAGTCTCTATGTTTCCAAATAGCAGGTAAAGTTGTAGCATGATGTTCTATCCATATTCTGAAACAAAAGTCAAGATTTTATAAGGTCGTCACGATTAATTAACAATCGAGCAATATTAGCCAGACTACTAACCTTGATGCCTGCATACATTTAGTGCAAGGAAGCAATTCAAATATTCACAATGGATGAATTGAAGACAATCTATCTGAAATGAGTCACAAAATAATCGCATGCCAAAAGGATCGGAAGTGGTCTGAATAAACTAACCTGAGAACTAAGGTTAGTAATCTCTGAAACTTTTAATTATTTGAAGGCCTGTATTAGATAGGTTCATTATTATCAACATTTGACAGGAACAAATGTCACCACAGCTCAAATCAAGCATAACTTTTTCAAATTGAAATAATGGTACAGTACAATTATGAAAGCAGTAGAGCTCAATGGAGGAGTCACCTCTTCTACCTGAGCTGCCAGCAGCCCAGCAGTACAAACTCATCCTTAAGCTTCAGCTTGTTCCGATTACCATCATGCAACCTGATACAATTACAATGGTGGGCTATTATCATTAGCTCTCCTTTTTCCCATCATAGAACAGAAAAATAAGGTGCACATTTTATAAAATAATAGGAAAAAAAGACATAGGAAGTAGTACCAGGAGAAAGCACATAGGACGGGAATATAAGCACTTGTTTGTTTCATTAAAGTAAACATACCTCATCCACAAATATGATAACGGGAGCTAATCGGCTAGCAAAGGAGAAAAGGGCCTTTGTCAACTTCTCAGCATCTCCAAACCACTGTTCAAAGAAAACAGAGCGGTGAAGTGGTGCTCAGATGGGAAATAAACCTTTATCTATATGGGACAGTGCAGGAGGATGAATCTTCTAAAGAATCTCAAAATTTACTTATTTGGTTCCGTGAATATAAGATACAGAGTGAAATGCAAACATCACAAATAGCATTTTAGGAGAGCATTCTAAAAAATTGCATCCACCTACTCTGCCTGCATTTATGGATACCATACATTCAATCAAAAGAAGATTGTCCACCATCATCCTATGCCCCAACCACCCACTAAAAAATGACTAAAGAGTGAGGATCCTTTGGTATGATCTAGGGACATACAGAGACTTCATGCATATGATAGGATTAACAGAACAGAAAAGGCCTCAACCTGTCAACTACATTCGTATAATCAATGTTTTAAGAAAAAGCAGGACCCACTCAGTTCACATGTGAACTCAGAAGTCTCAATTTGGCGTGTGATGTTACAAAACGAAGCAAATCTTTTGAAAGCTTAAATTGCCATCTTAAATAGGTTGACAAGTTGGTCCCGTAGACAGACTGCCCTTTTATCTAGAATTGTATATGCAGACTGTTTCACTTATCCTTTGATTTTTTATATGTCTATTCTACATGTGTGTAGAACTTAAAAAAAACTGTTTTGCTTCACCTTTTATCCCTTTTGGTCGTGGGAAACATAAATATGCACAAAAAAGTTTCAGATCCAAATCAAACATGTAAAGTTTATTCTATGGGCAAAAAATGGCTGAGGGGGCCATAGGATCCACACCTGGAAACTTTTTAGTAAAAGGAACCCGAGGCTTTTTCCTCATGTTGCTCAGGCATCATCGAGCTTTCTCATTCCGTATCTGCAACCCATTCAATAAATGAATGTAAAGCACATCAATTATGTATTATTTCTACAAATTACGCCTTGTTTTTTTACAATAAATACATGGAAGAAAATAGAGTCTGTCCTTGTGCGCTATGAATGCAATATGAAGTCGCTCAGGAAAATATACCACTCAAAACAGTACCTACATTAATAACTTGAACTATATGATTCACTGTTAGTGATTTTGCAGGAAATTTGTACAGAAATATGAAACAGAGGCTGATGCCCAGCTTAAATATTAAATATAGCTGCAAAGACTTCTTCATATAGAAGTGAACACACAGACTAATGAGGAGCGAATACATTGCACTTGAGTGAACGTACAAGCTTGCAAGGATTGAATATACCTTAGCAAGGGATTCTGCTGGAGTGCCAAGTAGATCAGTCATGAGATCCAATTGATGCACAACATTTTTCCCTGGAAAGAGTGGCTTTCCTGTAAGCAGCTCTGCAAATATACATCCTATGCTCCAAATATCAATTGCAGGGGTGAACTGCAAAAGCCAATGACAAAATATCAATCAAGATATCACCTAATGTGATAAATGTCTAAGAGATCATTCTCAAAACACCGTTGCTCCACTAATCCAAACATATCATAGTAATATAACAATGTTGGAAGAAAAAATAATATAGCCATCACCATTGTTAAATGGAAACGAGCTAGATCACCAGAAACGCCCTGTCAAAATTGTGCATCATATGATCCATCAGTTTACGTCGATAAAGAGACCTGATTTAGCTGAACGTGCTGAAAAACGTGTGTTGGTTGCGTGTGTGCATCTCTGATTGGTGTAGAGGCCGGAAGTTATAGTCTTTTATATTAAAAAAAAAGTGCATGCGGGGCTTACCCTGCTCCGAAATGCGCGACCTTCCCTGTAAATATGAAAATTCAGACGAACACCATGAGCAAGAGGAATCAAGAACGGGTGGGTGAGAGGAGGGTGACAATGGCGGCAAGGCAGAGGCTGTACTGACCGTAGAGCTGGATGAGAGGCGGGGGGAGGAAGAAGGGGACGACGGTGAAGCCCATCCACAGCACGATCTTCGCCGGCCACCACTCGGAGTGCCATGAATTCCGGCGATCGTGCGTCTTCCTCGTCCTCACCGTCGACAAGAACATCACGTAGAAGAAGAGCTGGAGGTCGCGTCAAGGACATCACAAATTCACAAAATGAGGTCGCCGTCAAGGACATCACAAATTCACAAAATGCAAGCTGAATCTGAAACTGAAATCTGAATTGAATTGCAAGAGGATACGAAGCAGCCAAGGCTGAGGCGGAGGACGCCCTCGCGCCGAGGCAGTAGCTGGCGCCCCGGCAGCTGCCGCGGAGTCGCCGGAGCTCGGCGAGTACGGGGTGGCCGAAGTCGTGGAGCATCCAGGTGAGCAGGTTGGTCGCCAAGAACACGAAGGCGTACACGTACCTCGCCATCATCGGGTTCGGCGGCCCACGCGTAGCACGTCTCCTCCACCGCCACCACCACGCACCTCTCCCCCCTCGCTTGGTGGCTCAACCACCGCCTCGGTCTCCTCGATCCGCCGCCGCGTCCCTAGCCTCCTTGGCCGCCACCGCTGAGAGGAGAGAGAAGGGGCACCGTGGAGCTGTCATCGGCTTCAACAACGGCGGCGACTGCGGCAGAGGTGGAGGCGCGCGGCGACGGGGACGACGATGGCGACGGCGCGAGGCGGATGTGGCGGCGCGAGGTGGAGGCGGAGGCAGCGCTCAGCGGTGGCAACGGCGATGGCGACGGCAGGAGAGGGAGAGAGAGAGAGAGAGAGAGCGAGAGGGTTAGAGAGAGGAGAGGAAGGAGAGGGCGTGGGCGGCGGCGGTAGCTATGGTTTTGGGGTGGGTAGGGCCCCGCCTTCACCACCGCTTGGCGACCGCAACGACGCGAGTGGGAGGCGGAGGAGCTCGGAGATCTCAACGTGACGGTGGCGGCGGAGGAGGTGGAGACGGCGGCTAGAGGGAAGGCGGAGGCGACAGGGACACGATGGCGGCGGCGCGAGGGGGATGCGGCGACGGCGACGGCGGCGGCGCGAGAGGGAGGCGAAGACGGTGGCGTGTGGGGGAGGCGAAGACGGCGGCGGCGGCGGCGGCGGCGGCGTGAGAGGGAGAGGGAGAGCGCGGGTGGGATGAGAGGGAGGAGGGGACTGCGGCGGCGGTGGCGGCGGCTGCTAGGGTTGGGGGGGTGAGTTAGTGCGCGTCGTTTTTCAGAAAAGCCCCTTGGCTTTCAGATTTTACAGCGCAGTCCTAATTCCCGATTTTTCTTTCCTTCACACGGAATATCCGGCTTTTATAAGGACCTTAAAGTAAAATAGCGTCTCAAGATACTGTTCATTAGGGGCATATATCGAATTATGTACAAACCAGAGGGCTTTTTCGAAAAATACACAGCCCTAGCACTGTAGCTATCCGACGTGGACAGCCCCAGAGGCGCCCCAACCCGCCACACTTAATGGTTTCTAATTAGAATTAAATTTTGGGTGCGACTGTAACTACGGCTGTCAAAAAAAAGCTCGAGGCTCGCAAGCTGCTCGAGCTCGACTCGTCCTAGGCTCGATTCGAGCTCGGCTCGAGCTCCAAACGAGCCGAGCCCGAGCCTGTCCCAAAGCTCGCGAGCTTTGTCGAGCCGAGCTCGAGCTTCTAACGAGCCTAGTAATATATGATTTTTTTTTGCTATTTAATAAATTGGTAGATCAAATATGTTATTTGTATGCCTAGAATGTGTGGGAAGTAAAGTGGATTGGGACATGGTCTGAATCCAACGATAAGAAAATGAATGTTAGGGAAGATAAACATGCAACTATTATACAGATAATTTTCTAAAGCTATGTTTCTTGTCATCACTTGTTCTGGATAAATAGGTATCTCACATTCAGTGGTAGCATGTTTATCTTTGTCTCTTGCTGATTAGGGTTGCATTATTTTAATTAACATATTTCCTGTACAGAAGAGATATGTAATAATACTGGATGGTATGTTTATCTTTGCCTCTTGCTGATCAGGGTTGCATTGTTTTGATTAACAACATATTTCCTATATAGAAGAGATATGTAATAATACTGAAACTTATTAGCTCTTTATATTAAAAGGATATATTTCTTAGAAGAGAGCTTGTCTGAGCATGGAAGCAGGGTTGAGGCCAAAAATGGCATTGGAAGAGAGATTGTCTATGCATGGAACCAGAGGGTTGAGGCCGTGCTGTAGCATGTAGGTTGACAACTTGACATGTTAAATGAAGGTTGTGCCAAAGTGGTGGATGCTACGACGAAGCAAACCATATTAAAATTAATAAACTTGTAGCAGTAGAAAGATAATCTGAGGTATTACTGTATTTGTTTTTTTCTGTACACATGATAACTCAACTATAATCAAAGGATGTGGCTGGCTATTTATACTTCAGATGGCTTTGATTGAACTTTTGGCTCTCGGAAGGATGCATGCCACTGGAAAGCAGAAACATACATCAGGAATGGCTTGCAGCTTGCTAACAAATACTTCGCTTGAATGCTTGAATCAGTGATAACCAAAAGAGTATAATAGTTACGGCAGTATTTGATAATGCAAATCAAATAATCAAAAGACAATATATGTTTCAGTAAACGAGATTGATTTAAGACATGCAAAAGAAGTAATGATAAGAAGAGTTATATATTTTGTTGTTAATACCTCATGTTATGTTATAAGTATTTGAGGTTTACTCTCCGGCAGGGTTTACAAGAAAAATCAAACTTATTAGATTGGCTTGATAACAAAAATGTTTGGTTTTGTGTTTTCGGCAAGTTTAAAAATTCAAACTGACTTTAAATTTTTGACAACATTCAACCACATTTTACCAAAAGTCAATGGTTTTTGCAATAATCGGTTGGGTCATTAACGGTGCATACTTAAAAAAAAGATTCATACTTGTCTATCTTGATTTCTTGAGGTTAACTCAACCATTCTTTTGGCGTGGATATGCATTGTCCTCATATAGTGTATATTGAATTGATTATATATAACCGTTGATGATCTTGAATAAATAATTTTAAGTTATATCATAATATTTTTTGATGACCTTGGACTGAAAGCTTAAATGGACAGATTCTAGGAAAATTATTTTCATTGCAGTCGAATATTAATAACTTATTAATAAAAATGTTGTGACACCGTAACGTTAGTACGGGCATATTACTAGTAAGTATATGGTTAAAGAAATTATGATGGAACCACATGTTATTAGACAGTGTATCCCGTGCACACAGCCATGTAGCTGTAGACATGCCAATATACATCCAGAGCTCTTGGATCAACACTCTACCACTCATGTTTTACAGAACACCCCCTCCAATTTTTTCCTCTTCCCTCAATCCAGTCCATATGGCCAAACAACCGGGTGTCTGGATCGCTCCCATCACTAACTGCTCAATGGCTCGCCACGGCGGTGGCGACCTCGAGCGACGGCCCATCTTCGGAATCGGAGGAGGCGACGACAACCGCCGGCGGATACGGCGATATCAATCAACGGCATGCCTGCGCGGAACGGCGGAAGGGGCGACGACAAAGCGCCGGCGAAGACGACGAGTTGACAGCCTCAATCAACGGAGCAACGGCGGAGGCAGTTCCTCAGAGGAGGTGATATAAAGCACAATAGACGACACCGTTGTGGGCTCTTTTGTTCCCCAGTCTCTATCAACCCATCTCCATTCTCGAGGTTTTTAGTTCTATCTCGAATTCTGAATGTTCCTTTTTTATTCTGATTTTTTTAGTTCTAATTATTATCTCTGCTTGGTTCTGCTTTGTAGTGAGGGGATCGAGAATACCGTGTTCGTGGCTTATCATGCTGAGATGAAACTTGTGGACTTCAAGTCATGTGTATCATCTCAGCATGTGTTTCATTTTTTTTAGTTTTAATTGTTTGCAGCATTTTCTGCTCAAGTTTCTTGCTCAGAAACTGGCGCTCAGAAACTTTGTGAAAATTGCACCAGCTTCCATGTTAGAAACTTTGTTTCAGAAAGCTCAGAAAATTAGAAAATGCTGCGATGAAACAATTAATGTGCTCAAGTTTTTGAGATGGAAACCGGCGCTCAAAAACTTTGTAAAATTTTGGATGCTCTTTTTTAATTATTTGGTTAGAGAAAGGTATTTTTTTACCCGGCCTCTATATCCAACCGATATATGTAGCCTTTAAACTTGGGAACTTAGCCCCTCAACCGTGCCCGCGCAGCGACAAGGAGGCGCGCAACGACGAGGAGGTGGTGAGAGGGTGGGTGGCTTGAGGGGTTGGAGGCAGCGCCTCGGGTCGGCGATGACGGCGGCAGTCCGACGGTGTTATGTGAGCGCGAAGCAGTGGATAGCGGCCTGAAGGACCTGCGGCCTGCGGAAGGTGAATGAGGGAGTTAAGGTGAGAGGGATGGCGCGGAACGGTGACAAAAGGCGATCGGAGGCCGGCGGAAGGAGCCAAGCTCACCTTTATGGTGCCGAAGGGGTTTTGGTGGTGAACGGCTTTGAGGAATCGGTGGCCGGGGTACTGCTCGATGCGGTTAACGCAATGGAAGTGGTGGTGCAGCTTGAGGTGACCGGAGACGGCGACAAGCGGCGACAGGAGGAGGTGGAAGCAAAAGCAGCTTCGGGTTGGTAGCGAGGATGGCGTTTCGGTCGCGGCAAGGGAGAAAGGAGCGGCAGCCGGGACGACTCCCAGCATGGCGATGCTGATGGTGCAAGCGGCACAGCACGACGGCGGCTAGGACGGTGGTGGCACGCTCCCAGAGGTGGAGAGCAGTGTGGGGAGAGTGATGGAGGCCGTGTCAAGCTAGAGAAGGGGAAAAAAGGAAGAGGGCATGGGGTCTCTTTTTATGGGCTCGGGAGGAGCGGCTCAAGGCTACAATAGACGGAAGGCGCCGACGGAGTTCGTGGGGTGGTGACATGGGGCGCGTCGGGGCAAATCGACAATGTTCTTCACGGGGAGAGTGGAGGAAATGGTGGAGGACGTGGCGATGACCCGGGTCTGTGCCGTTTGGAGGTGAAGACGTGAACGGGGAGGCGCGCGCCGTGGCGGAGAGGCGGTCGATTCTCCCGTCTAGAGGTTGGGGAATGAGATGACAGGAGGGGCCCACTGTCCCACTTGTCGGTGGCACCGGAGAGGGGAGGGAGGTGGAGTAGACTTCGAAAGAGAGGGGAGAGGCTAGCAGGCTGGAGGCCCAATGGGGAGGGAGGAGGGGGACTGGAAGGAGAGAGAGGAGGGCAGGCCGGCTCGGTAGGGAGGAGGACTTGGGCCAGAAATAGCCCAAAGAAAAAAAAGAAGGGTTTTAATTTGTTTTCAATTTAATTAATTTATTAAATGAAATTTGTTTTATTTAAATTACTTATTGAGATTTGAAAATTCATGGGAAATTTCAAAGAGTACTTTAGGGCATAGAGAATACTAAAAAAATATTTGCAGCCATGATTTTTAAAGAAAATTTTATTTCTCACATTAATTGACTTGATAAATTGCTTTAACTTTAAATATAATTTCTAGAAATGCTTTATTAAATGATTTTTAATCCCCGAGAGAAAATCGGGGCATGACAACCAGCATTGAGTAGTCTCTCGCTAGTGCCTGGTTGTCTAGAACGAAATTCTAGCCTTGTAAGCATATATATGTTTAAGTATAAACCAAAGCACTATAAATATTGCCTATGAACATTATCTCTCATTTTATCTGTCAGGGTTATGGATACCTACCTAATAGTAGTTGACTAAATCTCGGCAGGACCCACCACATACCATGTTTTATACGGAAACAACCTTCGGGTATAGAAGGAGTTCCGGATAAGGAAAGATAAATAGAGTTTTACATGGAAACGACGAGGACTACTCGGATTGTATCCATATTGGTTTCCCTAGTTCTACTTGGACAAGGGGACACCTTTGGGTATAAATACAAGGCCCCCTAGGAGGAGAGGGGACATGAAACAACAGATCAAGATACAGATCAACACACAAGCCAACATACGCCAAGACACGCCGCCGGATATCGACATCAGAGATATGCCTGGACTGACCCTATCCGGTACCTATAGAGGCCGGCTGTAGGGATCTAGCGCTGTCTGTGATCTCGCCGGACACGGATTCGAGGAGGAAGACTACTCTGTTGTCGACTACGGGATGGTTTTATGGCCACCAAGTCGATAACAGATAGATA